ATCAAGAACACCATGATAACAATAATGATAATTGATAAATTAGGATTATTAAAAACACCAAATAATAAAACTATGAAAAAATCACTGTAAAAAAATGTGTATTCCAAGAATGAATAAAGAATTATTATCATTGTATGCATATTGCAATGATCCAAGGAGAGTAATTATCATGAGAAGTTCTACAAATGTTATAATTTCATTACTAAAATATTTTTTCCATATATATATTCTTTCAAAATAAAAATGCCTCTTCTTTTTAGAAATTTAATATTCTTTCTTTTATTACTATATTTCATAAAACGCATTCGAATTGTCTTTGTTACTGAGTTCGAAGCACGTCAATATTGATATGTAGAGCAACTATTACATACATACGAGCTGTGTTAACTTGATTTTTTTCAAATTTTGACTTTAAAGTTAATAGTACTCAGTTTGAAGCACATATAAACCGGTCAATATTGGTATGTAGAACAACTTTTACATAGTACAAATGACAGGTTTTAAAAATGATAAAAAAAAATCCTTTTATTGCTCATTTGAGCTTAACATTAAAAAACAAAACTATATAATCTTTGGGTGTTTATGTGGTGTACACAAAAAGGATTTAATCCATTGTGATTTACATAGTGGTAATCAATCTTATTAATAAGCGGAGTTGTTATATTACAGATTTGGGATTATGTAGAAAAATTATCAAATAAATCTATCATATGTTACACAAGAACTACCTAATATAAAGAATCGGATATTTATAGCGTTGGGATGTTAACATGGAAATAATAGTTTAATAAAAAGATTAAACATGAAATTGATTCTAATAATGACGGTAGCAAGCAAGCAGCAGAAGAAGATGAAGAAGAAGTAGTGGTGGTGGCAGTAATTCACAACAAGTACACAAATTACATCCAGATGCATGTCATTAAATTACCTCGATCTTAACTCTTTTCTCTAAAATGTTAGATAAAATTTTTATTAATTAATTGGAAATTACTAAAAATATTTTTTAATTAATTAATTAACGTTAGATTCTAGTAATAATCATAATAGTAAAAGAAATAATCGATAAATGACTAATTTTAATAATTCTATTCATTATAATCTTCTTAAAGCTAGATTATAATAATATTTTTTAAATAATAAACCTTTTATAGCTTTATGATTCTTGTTAATGCAATTAACTGACAAGAGTTAAGCTACAATCAGTAAATAGCTCGCGCTTGTCAATTAATTAGTTTACAAAGTTACTTTACTGCCTCTTTGTTGTACCTTAACTGGATAACTTAAATAAATAAAAATGGCCCTTTTGCAAAGCTCAAATGATTCTATAAAGCTCCTTTTGTTCAATTGTAACTGATTTATTTCAGTTGTTTACCCTTGTTTATTTTTATCTAGCCATTTTGGTCATTTACAAACAATTTAAGCAGCTTGTTGACAGATTTACGTTTACGATTAGAATAACACTACTAGTATTTCCAATTAACCATTGGACAATACTTCGTTAACTCCCGCCAGCTAGTTAATCAACATCAATGCTAAACCCTTGCTCGCTCACTAAAACAAATTATGTTACTAATCATTAGTTAATTAACGTTGGTACTACCTTTGTTTACTCGCTAAGGCAAAAAAGCATCTTTCTATCAAGACGTTTCCACTTGTTGTTTTTACCAAGAATTTAAGCAATGAAAATAAATCAATGTTTTTTTTATTTAATAAAAATAATGATTTTATTTTCTCAAGCGAGGACCATTTCACAATGATAACCCCATTTATGCAACTTATTTATGACAGTAGACAAATATGTTTGTGCGTGAATTTCAAATTAGCTAATCAGAATTTTGTATCCCCAGGAAAAAGCTTGCATTTAATTGGCGTACCTTCTGATGTCATGACAAGCAGCCGGTGACCTAGTTCATCTGGTGGATGTAGAATATATGAGTTGGATGCTGATTATAGTTTGTTTGATGGTAATAAACACTTTTATCATGAATTGTAATTATATCGAAACTAGTTTTATATTCCTTTTTATCTCTTGCAGAAATGGCCATTTTGTCGAATGTTAACAAATCAATAACAGGTCGTACATCATTAACAAATTCTTCAAATCGACTATACCATAATCTTGTGTTTTTTTTTTGCTGTATTTTGTGGTTTTGCTACATTAACATACTTAATGACTGCATTTTCAGAAGGTCGTTCAAATTTGTCTCTGTGACCAGAGCTTGTATTTGAACCCTAACCCTTAATTTGCATCTGTTGTTTGATCCGAATATTATCAAAGTCATTAGAAATCCGGATTTAGTTGTTAAAAGATATCCGGATATCCGTCGAGTTACAAATATCCGGATATCCGTATCGTTATGAATTTAGCATATGGCCCAAATAGCATTCTCATCTTGAACACGATCAAAAAATAGTCATGTCTAACTCCTAGCAGAATTATTCCTCGTTTTCAAAAACCCTTCAATATTAATTATTATTTGTAGAACTTAAAAAATATATATATAAATTAATTTATTAATGTATTAGCTGCTAGTGGTTATAATTTTATATTGATTAGTTACCTAATCTCAATGATGTTGAATCATTAGATTCTAACAAACTATATCATTAATATTTGCTTGTTCAACAGAATCAAATAAACCTATTGTAATTATTTATTATTTATTAAAACCAAAAAAATTAATCATTCGTATTACAAACAAATCTCACATACTAATTACTACAAATAAATAAATAAATTTAGATAAATTCCATCTGAAATTTTATACGATCTGAAATCTTATCTCGAAATTGGTTTGAAATTTGATCTGAAATAAATTTTGTTTGTTGTTGTGCATGACATACAAATTTGACTTTCGCGCACATCTGAAACTTGATAAATGTCTTCACATATCTCCAGCTCGATTTAGAACGAGTGCCGAACAAAGATTGACTCACAGAATTTACGTGGATTTATCGAGCGTGAGTCAAGATCTGCCACAATTCGCTCAAAAAAGAGCCATCTGTGTAAGTTATAATTTCCTAATTTACTCGATAGCTATTTTGCAGAATGTGAATAGGCTCAACATCTTGATAAAATATGTGTCGGTCCAAGGAAATCGCGTCATTTTTGGCTCGAGGAACATGATTACACACTACCCCATAAAACATTTTTTCAGAAACATATGGTTTTTCCATACTAACATGTTTTACATATATTTCCGCCTTTTTTTGTATGGTGCATGTATGGAAAAACCATACGTTTTTGAGAGTTTCTTATAAGGTACTCGAACAAGTTCGAAAAACATGTCTCAATGAGTGTCGCCGATGTTGCTAGAATACGGAGAGAGAATGAGGTCAGCAAATAAACGGGAATTAGATGCAGAATGTGAATCTAAATTTAGAAAAATCATAAAGAAAGCAATCAATGAACCGATGTTATTGATTCATCATTGGCATATTGGGCAAATTTTGAAAATAAATCAAAGTAGGGCAGCCTGATTTTGTAGTGTCAACGATACATAAATTAGAAACAAGTAGAGTTTTGATTTGTAGGTAAAGTTACTTTTGCAGAAAAAGGAAACGTATTCAAAAACTGCAATGGTTGGAGTTTTCATGAAAGAAAGAATGAATGCATTGATTCAGCCATAAATAAAGGTGGAGACATTAAACTATTGGGGTTTCATTGTATTTATTGGCAAGATAAATTAAAACAATAATCATGTAATAATAATAATTAAATATACAATCGATTTTTACTTTGTGCTCCAGAATTATATTTTATGCGTCAAGCTTCAATTCCTATTTCAGTAAAGGCAATGACACATTTTGTAGACGATAGAAACTTTTCTGATAGTGTATGAAAATCATTTGCTGAATCACTTGGATTTTCCCCGAACAACAATGAAGGCAATCTCACAGGTAACAAGGGGAAAAATCATATATATAAAAATATTGTATATGAATGAATAATATTTTTTTTTCCACGGACTATTTCAATAATAGAATTGATAAACTAAAAATGCATATGATACTGGTTTATTTGATGAACTGGAGACACCATGTGAAGAAGGTTAATTTTCTAAAAAAAAAATGACCTGATTATCTAATCTTTTTTAGTCATGCATGGAATTTACTTACATTTGAAGATGACCATTATCATCGACAATAATAATGGATGCCTTCACATGTGCCGAATTTGGGTAGAGTTAAAAATAAATTTTTTCAATATTAACGTTCATGTTTAATATAAATTTCTTTGTGATTTAATGTTCCACTTTGTTACAGATATGATAGTAATATCATCCAATTATTGGAACGAACATTAAAAGTTTAGTGTCATCTTCTTGGGTCCATCTCCACCTTTAGCTACTTTTAATTTCCATTTCGTAAAAATCAGATTCATTTAACAATTTGAGTTAATAATATTAATTTTTATCCAAAGATTTAAAGGATGAAAAAATCATTGTATAAAAAAAATTTGGAAAAAATTGACCGTCACAATCATTTTATATTAATATTTTATAAAAATGTTTTTTCATTTTTATTTATTTTTATTTATTTAATTTAATTTATTAACAAGAAGAGAGAAGAGAGTAGAGAGAAGAAAGGAGAGAGAGAGAAGAGAGAAAAAAGAAGAAAAAAAGAAAACAAAATATCGTGTATACATTTATACAATATAATAATAAAAGAGAATAATATATATATATGTGTGTGTTTGTGTTGTTTGTATGTTTGTATATGTAAAGAAAATAAAAAAATGTTCATTAATGAAAATATTTCAAAAAAGTTTATCTTTTTTCAAAAAAGTATTAAACTTTTTTCTTTTTAGTTTCTCTATATATATATATAATAGTATATGTATATATATATAATAAAAAAAAAATATATATATAAATATTATATTTACTAAAATGGATGATGATGATATGATGACACACTGATAAAAAAAAATATTTACTTATAAATAATTATATGTACGTATATATATATATATATAATATATTATTATTAACAGATTTTTATTTTTTATCAGATTGTTGATTTTGATATTTAGCACCGTTTGGATTATTGTTGGGAGAATTAGCTTGATTATTGTTATTATTAGCAGCACCAGAGTTAGCATTGCCAGCATTATTAGCGTTGGTAGGCCAGTAGGCATTAGCGGCGGCGGCATTAGATTGTTGCATATAAGGATGATTTTGAGCAGCAGCGGTAGCATAATTCAAATGTTGATTTCCGTATTGTGGATAGGCGGCAGCAGCAGCTGTTGACATATATGGAGTAGTAGCAATTCCACCGCCTATTGCCATACCATTTGGAATTCCGCTGTATTGAGGGTATGGATTTATACCTAAAGTTGAATAAGGTTGTGTTTGTTGAATATTTGGATTTGTTTGTGGCTATATAATAATATATAATATAGAATGAAAAAAGTAAGATTTTTTTTTTTCTCTTTAAAATTTATTTCTTTAAAAAATTTTCTTTAAAAAAAAAACCATTATTTTATTACCTTTCGATCAGCATCATAAACATCATTAGAATTATTATCTACTTGGTTAGAGGTATCAGCCCCATAAACAGGTTGAGCATTTTGTGATTGCCGTGTCTATATTTAAGTTGATATATATATATATATTTAACACAATTGTTGGAGGAGAAAGGAGGAAAATTCGATAACAATAATATACAATAATATATAATAATACATACGTTACTATTATTGTTATTTGTTTCTTGACCTGGAGGAGTGGCATCTGGAGCATTTAAGCAAGCTTGAATTAGATTTTTTCCTTCTGGTTTAGTGACTAAAGGTTGAAGTTTTGGTGTGGTAAAAGTATATACAAGTCCAGTTTCTGATACTACGAGCAATAATACTTGAGTTCCGGTTAAAGTACTAAGTTCGTAAGCCTATTATTATAGGAAGCAGCAATGAGAATAATAATAAAATTATGTTATTATTGTTAAATAAATAATAATTTTATTTTATAATAATTATAGTTATTTTGGTATTTTTACTTACTTTCTTCATTATACCAGCTTTTCTTTTACTGAATGTAATATGACGTCTGCTTTTATCTTCAATGTATTCAATTTTTATCTTACGTCGGCCGGCACGTTTTTCATTTTTACCAGGAGTTACTTCTTCGCTTTCTGAATCATCATCACCATCGTCACGTTCATGTTTAGCACCACGCGGAGTTGATTGTTCTGATAATATATCACTAGCATTGCTCTGTTTTCTTGGTGTGGTAGTACCTGGGTTGCTTAAACCGCTCATATTTCCTTTTTACTTTTAAAGAATAATTTTTGTTTTTGTAAAAAAAAAAAATTTTTTTTTTTTTTTTCGTTAATAAGTTTTTTTTAAAATAATATATAAAATTTTTTTTTTTTTATAAAAAAAATATTTAATATTTTTGGAGAAGATTGTATGTGTGTGCGTGTATATATATATATATATAAATAATATATATATATGTGTGTGTGTAAAAAAAATAAAATTTAAATTTTTAAAAAAAAAAAAATTTTTTTCTAGATAATATATATATGTAGATATATATATATGTATGTGAACAAATATGTAAAAGAATATATGTGTAAATATATATATATATATTAATAATAATTAATTAAGTTTGAAAAATGAAAAGAAAGAAAAAATTTTGAGTTTATATATAAAAAGATTTTTAATAGACAGAAAAGAAAAAAATAAAGAAACATATATGTAAGTATGTGTGTGACAGACATCAAACAATAAAAATGGTAATAAGGACATTTTTCGACTATATTGTAAATAATCTGCAGTGTAAAATAGTAAGTGCTGCGGGATGTAAGGGAAATGAAAAAATAATGAAAATAGGCTGTTTTATGTATGTGAAGTTGTATTAGGTGTAGTGCATATATATATATATATATATATATATTTATATTTTGAACATTTTCTTTGATCAATGCAAGACAAATATATATATATATATGTATGTATTATGTATGTAGATGTGTGTGTATGTGTGTAATAATTTGTTATTTTTTAAAAAAAAGAAAAAAAGTGAAGAGGAGAAAATATAATAGTAATAATAAAATAATATAAGGTTCAAAATGTCGAAAAAAATTTTTTTGTTAAAATTAAATTATTTGACAACGTGTGTCAAAAAAAAAATTTGACATTCAAGTAACATTGTTTTCCATATTTAATTTTTTAAAGTTTTTTTTTTTAAAAAAAATTATGCGTCTATTTTGAAAATGTGTGCGAGAATGAATTTGGTAATGGATAAAATAACACACATACACAAAACACACTCACTCGATAATAATTAAAGCGAGCGAGCGAACGAGAGTGTAGTGTGAATGAATATGAAAAAGAAGTTGATGATGATGGTAATTATATGTTGGAGAGGGGAGGATATAATATTGACGAGATCAAAAAGTTGTTATTATATGCGAATGAAATGAACAATTAAATCACAAACTATATATGTGGTATTAATAATTAATGAACACGAAATAAAAAGAATTAATTAAACAAATCGAAATTGAAATTGAAATTGAGGTTGAAATTGAAATTGAAACATGAAACAAACTCTCTTCTCCTTTTGAATCTGAGTTTTTTTTAAAAAAAGAAATAAAACCGGATAAATAAATATAAATAAATAATAATATAAAAATTTACTTACTTTGAAGTTATTTTAGAAAAAAATTTAATTAATGATATATGATGTGGAGGAAAAAAAAAATAGTTTTTTCCAAATAGTTGGCTTGAACAAAAAAGGGGCAAAGGGGCAACAATTTGGACGTAAAAGGATGTTGAGTTATTTTATAACTGACCAAATTCAGTCAAAAGAATTTTTTCTGTCAAATCAATTTCTATTCTTTTTATATATAATAAATAAAATTACTAATCTTTATTTGGAGAAGGTTACACAATTTAAACAAAATAAATGAAGTTTTTGTGTTTGGAAAAAAAAAATAAAAAGCCAGATTAGTCGGGGTACTATTATTATAATAAAACAAAATTAAAGTGTGTACATATATATATATATATATTTTATTTTTTACTTTAATATAATATACATTTTAATTTTCACATTATTTTTTTATTTATTATATATATATTTTTCAAAAACAATACATCTAAAAACAATATATTTATTATTTATTATTTATTATTATTATTATTATTATTATTATTATATGTTGTAATAGATAGGCAGATTAAATTAAGATTTTCTGAGATTAGGAAGAATGTTAATTAGGTAATTTTAGTTGATTAGTAGATTAAATTGGTTAATAAATAAAAAATATCATTATTATTGTCATTATTGTTTGTAAGAGAGAGATTTGCTTTATTTCTAGTTAGCTGGTTTTGCGAAAAAGTGAACAAACGAATAGGATGGGAGATGAAATGGTGATTTGTTGTTGTTGTATGTATAATAGCATAATTGTTTGGCTATTTAGTTAATTTAAAAAAATGTATGGTAGATGATTTTATTAAATTTAGTAGCGAGCGGAATTTGAATTTCAATCGTGATTCGCAATATTCAAAAGGAGTTTAATTTGTTTAAGTGGAAATTGAAAGGCGGAAATTAAAAATGGAAGTTTTAAATTTGGAAATATAGATAGATGTGAAAAAAAAATTTACATATATATTTTTTGAATTCGAAAAATATATAAATATAAAAAATTTCTTGATTTTTTTCGTTGAATATTGCTTGTTTCAGCATTTTTAATTTCATTACATTAATTAATTGGTGAAATAAGCGTGAAGGGAAAATTTGAAAATAGCCAATAAAAAAAACTATATTATTTATATTACTTATTTTATTTTTTAAATAAATAATTGATATATATATATATATATATATATATTTAATAATGTTGCACTCAACTTGTTACTTATCATCAGTTGAACTGGTGTAATGTTTTACAATAAAACTTTTCATGTTGATAAGAAATCATCATCACCATCTTATAATAACAAAAAAAAAAAAATAAAATGATAGGAGTAATAAGAAGAGGGAGGAGTTGCGGTGGGAAGGAGTGAATGTGTAAGAAATTACCAGTAATAATAATAATAATAATAATAATAATAATGATGATGATGATAATTAAACTACAAGTAATATAAAAATAGGAATTAATAATTAAAAAAAAATTAATTAGCAGGAGTTATATAGTTAATAATAACAATTAGTACTTTTCTCACACGCACACACACATACATTCTATCATTCCAGAGATTCTAGACATTCTTCTATTTTATTTTTTCTCATATATAAAAACATCAATATCCAATTAAATAAATCAAAATTACGTATTTTATTTATTTATTCTAAAAAAAGTATTTATATATTACACAACAACAAAAAAATTCATTTGTTCCATTATCATCAATAATAAAAGGGAATTTGATTTCCGTTTTTAGTTATTTAAGTACGGCATTACATTAAATCTTCTCCGAAAAAAAAAATTTTTTTTTTTTGTGTTCTTTTTTCTTCTATCAGATTTCTTTATTAAAAAAAAAAAAAAATTTTAATAGTGATAATAAATAGGTTATATTATTATTTATTTTATATTTTATTTATTTTAACTTTTTTTATTTTTATTAAAAAACCTGTTTATAAAAAAAAATAAAATGAAAATTTGGTTGGAAGGAAATTTTGGGATGATTGTTTTAATTTTTGGCTGTAAAATGATGATACTTCTGGCAATGACTTTGTTTATTTATTTGTTGACTTTTCATTTTAGTATGTTGTTGTTGTTTTGCTGAATTATTTGGATCAGTCTCTCTCTTTCTTTCTAATAATTAAGATAGTGTGATGTGTATGCGGAGGAGGCTGGGAATGTTGGCGACGGGGAAAAGAAGAAAAGAATAAGAGGAAGAATAAGAAGAAGAAGAAGAGGGATTAGGAGTTTTGTTTTTTTTTTGAATTCCAATTCTAAATTCTAATTTGAATTCTAATTTGCATTCGATTTATTATTTATTTGCTTTTCGGAATCTATCTGTCCCAATAACTAATATTAAAATCAATCAATAAAATGAAATGCGGCGCGTGTAATTAACGTGTTTATTTTTTATGCAATCATTTGATATTTTGGAAATATATTTGTTTACTTACATATGAAATAAAATATTTGTATATCTATCAAAGGAAAAATAATAAATAATAAATAATAAATAATGAGGCAATAGTAATAGTAATAGTAAATAGTAATAGTAATAGTAATAGTAAATAGTAATAGTAATAGTAATAGTAATAGTAATAATAATAGTAAATAATAATAATAATAATAAATAACAATTTTTTCCCTAAAGATTATGTTCTTTATTTGTCTATGATGATTATCTATCTCTATTTTCTATGCACTAAAAAAGTTTTTATTGTCTATAAACGGTTAGTGAATGTTAAATTAAGTTCCTTTGTGTAACTAAAACTAAAAAAATTAATTCTCCACAGAAATAAATTTAGCAATAAAGTCTAAAAAAAAGGTTAATGATTTTAATGCTTTATATAAGATATATCATCATTAGAACTTAATATTACATCATCAAAAGTGTTAAATTAAATTAAAGCTATATAATATTTCGTTGGTATATCATTATCGTCATCTGAACTCTATCATATGTTATTATTATATTGCAAAAAAAGAAAATCAAAAATTATAAAATATAACGCCTCAACCCAAAAAAGAAAATCATGTATATATAGAGCGTGAAACGTTACACTTGCACACTAAGAAGAAAAAAACACGAGAGGTAAAGATGATAATTTATTGATGGAATTTTTTAAAGTATATATATAACAATAGTAACTGATAAATTATTTATGGCGTAAAAAGGTTGTGAGAATGTATGGTGATGATGGTGATGATGATGATGATGATGATGATGATGAATGGTAGAGTAAGTGATGTAAAGCTGAGTAGGTAAGCGGGTGGGTGATGATGAATCTAAATAATCAACAATCATTTCCAAGTATAATAAAACTGCGAATTTCTCCTATTTTTCAATATAATGTTGCTATATTGATAACTTTGTTATATATATATCATGTACATAATATCTCTCTCCCCATTGAGTTCACATTAAGAATTATTTCCTTATAACAAACCTTACTTTGCGTGCACGTCAGATGCAGGATTTTCTGCCGTTCACAAAAGAATCATCGTCAATAAATTTTTTTTTTTTATATATATGTATATATTTTTAAATTAATGAAAACCGCGTAAATTAATTAAAATTTACACTACATTACAATTAATCAATCAATCAATAAACTAATTAATGAATAAAATATATAATTAATTTAATAAATAAATAGTTCCTTTCGTAATCTTAACAATCTTCAAAAATATCAAATAATCATCTTTTCTCATTCATTCAAAAAATAAAAATTTTCTTTATCAATAAAATCTCTCACTTCAAAGACCTAGAATGAAATTCGTCGCACAAAATTTCAATTTATTCATTTTGTCATCCAAAGAGATGTATCATCATATTACTAATTATGTATAATTTTATATAATATAATTATTAATGATTGTTGTTGATTTTTTTTTAATATTTTATTTGTTCATTATTCATTACAGAAAAAAGAAATGATCTGGGACCTTCTTTTTGCTTTTTTTTTTTTGATTTACTCTACTATATAAAAATATATAGAAACAATGGAAAAAAAATTAACTTGATAAAAATCAGGTATAATTTTTTTATTAAATTTAGAATATTACGGGCGTATATTTATTTTATTATATTATAATTAAAACTTGACCAACTACCTTTTGGCGTAATAATTATAATTATTGTTTGTTATTATTAGAATAATAACAAAAAAAAAAAAAAAAAAAGAAAATTTCTCACAACCTTTTTTTATTTATTTTTTTTGTCAAAAAAAAAAAAAAAAAAAAATTTAAAAATTTTATTTAAAAAAATTTAATTTTACAGTTTATCGTTTTTTCCTATTATTGTATTAGTCAACGAAGGATTGATTATTTTAATCAACCAATCAATTTGTTTTATTTGTTCATTACCCCTTCCTTCCCTATCTTAAATCTTTTTTCTTGCCATTTAATTCGTATTCTTTACCGTATGTCAAAATATCGTTCCTTTGAAAAAAAAATAGTTTATTTTTTTTACCTGTCATTTTTATCATTATTTCAATAAACTTTCACTCTCTCACCCCTCTTTTTACATACTATGCTATTATCATTTAAATAATAATAATAATAATAATAAATAATAAATAATTAATAATACGAGATCGTTAGTACTGTTTAATTTTTATTTTTTAAAAAATTTAATGATTAAAAAAAAACAATAAATAATTTTTTGTTTTATTTGTTTTGGAAATATTTAATATTGTTTTTTTTTTGTTCAATTTTGGAAAGGCAACTATTCTATCCATTCAACTATTAATCCACTCATTTCCATACACCATCATCAACATCCATCCATCCATACGTCCCATTCATTTATTCATTCACTATTATTACTATTAAAATAAAAATAAAAATAAAAATAAAATTCTCATTGTTTCCTCCAATGTATTTTTTATTTAATTTGTGTTAATGTGTATGTATTAATGTGTGTGTGCGTGCGTGAATTAATTAATTTGTAAAATGTGTGCTGCTGCTAACTAATAAATATGTCAATGTGGTTGTATAGTTAAATGTGGTAAATGTGTCTTCTTTTGGCCTCTTCTCATCCATAATCATCATTAAATTTGTCATTATTACCTCTCTGCTAATAAAAAATTTTTCCCAATGTTTTTACAATTACCTAATTTGCTATCAATAAATTTTTTTTTAAAATTAAAAAACAAAAATTGTTTTTGAACAAAAATAAACATTACAAATATAGAAAAGGTTAATTAAATTCCCCGGTTATAGATTTATGGCGATTTTCTAAAATAAAATAAGATTTTATCAGATGATATTTACTAAACGTTTGATGTATTATTATTATTATTATTATTATCCTTAAAAATATAAAATTATCATTGAAAAATTTTGTTCTTGCTCTCTTTTTCAAATGAATAATTGGGATGCCCTATGCAACAAAACCAGCTAAAGTAGTAAATAGTAAAGTAATACAAAGGAATTTCAGGGCTTCAAAGTTTAACATTACGATAACCAACAATAATCTTGTTATTACTTCAATCTCTCTCTCTCATTCATGCTTACATTTTTTTCGGAACCAACAGCAAAAATTTATATTTGCAAAACCAATTTAATCAAAACCAGTAATAATTTGTCTAAAAAAATCACTTTCTTTGGTTGGGGTGGTATCTGCATTAGCTCAAGATCAGATGATTTTCAGTTTCGGGGGTAGAAATGGTAGTAATTAAAATAAATTTGGTCAAGTCTACTTTTCTCGATTAAATAATTCAGCTTCCCATAATTCTAAGGCTTGGTTTTTAGTCAATTTTTTAAAAAACAAATAACAGGATACTCTCTGGCTTCAACGAGTTCTTTGTTGTAGGGATTAATTGTAAATCTTTGATTTTTTCTTTATTTTTATTCATAATTATGTTTATTAAAATCAATTAGTATTAGGTTAATTTGCTCTTTTACTTTCATCAAAAAATTCCTGACCAATAAAACATGGGAAAAATCTTTCCTTTCTCTCTTTTTTATTTTTTTTCCGATTCTTCTACCATTACTTTTATACTTTTAAACTAATTCTTCTTTTTTTATGGTTTCATCATGGCCTTTCTTTTATTTCAATAAAAATATCTCAAGTGGAATATCGGATAAGAATTAAAGGATCTGCGTGGGAAATCGGATTAAAATTTTTTCCTAATTTTTGACCAAAATCTTTTATTTATTATTATGGATCTCAATGATGATAGATTCTTATTGTATTTTCTTTTTAAGGTATTTGCTAGCGCTTGATGATCAACCATGCATGATCTTGATTTGAGCCATCAAGAAAGTATCAATGCTATGTATGACCTGAAACTCTTTTGAATTCCCGGTATAATTTTGTGGGAAGATCCTACAACCACTATTACCATTACTATCACTATCCGAAACCGTAATCTAACCTCTAAATTTTTGCTGAAATTAGATGATCTGTGAAATTAGTTTTAAAATTTAAAGTCGATAATTATAGGATTTTTATTATTATTCAAACGGAATACTCTATGCCTTATTTATCATTATCAATCATTGCAAGAAATATTTTCTCTACATCTAAATATCAAGCTCTTATTGTATATGATTTCTCTAATCAATCAATCAAATAAATTCATAAAATTCTTAATCTTTTTTGTTTCTTAATTTTTAAAATTAAAAAAATGTATAGAAAAGAAATTAGTGGCTTTAATATTCAAATATTCTTACCAATTGGGATCCCAAAATCAGTTTGAAACCAGATTAATTCGAAACTTTTCGAAATTTCACAGATCTAATACTAATGTATATATATTGTGGGGTTGCGATAATTACTTATTTATTTTCTATATTTATTCATTATTTTGAAACAATTTTGTTTCGATTAACTTAAATAATTATGAGCGGGGAACAGCTTCTAACCTTCGCTAGAATAACTTTGGGTCTTCGCTTGAAAAAGCAAATGAAAATCAATGCAAATTAATATTCTAATAAAATTTTGTGATAGAATCATTATTTTTATTATAAATTAAAAATCGAATCGTTAGTAAACTTTTAAAAATAAAATTAAAAACATTGTTTTTATTTTCTTTATTTAAAAACTTTGATAAAAACAACAAATAAAATGCCCTGGTAAAAAAGGTTTCTTTCTTTAACGAGTTGTTAACTAGTGAGTATTAACAACGATTAGTGAAGTATTGTCCAAAGGTTAGTCGGAAATACTAACAATGTTATTGTAATCGTAAACATAAAACGGTTAACAAGCTACTTGATTGTTTGTAAATAAACCCAAATCGGCCAGATAAAGTAAGGTAAACAATAAATCAGTCACAATCGAATAAAAAGAACTTTATAGAAGCCCTTAAACTTTGTAAAAGAGCCATTTTATTTATTTACAGTTATCCAATGTACTTGTAGATTCATCTAGGTACAAAGAAAGAGACAGTAGGCGAGAACCAAGGTAAATTCGTAAACTAATTAATTGACAAGCACTGGATTATTGCGAGTTGCTTGCAATTAACTGACAAGGATAGCTCAAAAGTTAGGCCATACTTGTTAAATAACCGAAATGATATCACCATTAACAAGAATCAGAAACTATTGTAAAAAGTTTATCATTTCAAAATATTATTATAATTTAAGAAAATAAAAAGACAAACGAATAAATTTTCAATTAATAATGAAAATTTTATTCATCTTCAACAAGAAAAGAGTTAAAATCAAGACTGTTTAATGAACTATCATTACTTGTATAAATTTTTAAGCTTTTAGATTTAGCAATTTCATCATCCAAGATTCTACTTTTATGATATGCATCTGGATGTGATTTGTGTGTTTGTTGCGAATCACTACTACTACTAATACTACTACTGATATTATTATTAAATGTTCTTTCAGTTTTAAAAATTTTATCTAATTTCTTATGAGCAAAATCACACAGTTCCTTGATAGTTGGTCTTTTAGATGGATCCACATCCCAACACTTCTGCATCATTTGCACATAATCATCAGGCATTCCAGGTAATATTGGTGGTCGTAAACCTTCACATATATCAAAGATTAAACGGTGATTGTGAGCTCTATTGTCAAATGGTGGTTGATCTGCAAATATTTCCCACATTAACATTCCAAAGCTATAGATATCTGTTTCTTTACATTAATTTTGCCTCTGAGCAGCTCAGGTGCAACATATGATACAATTCCATAGATTTTATTTGATGATTTTTCATCAACTGGTCCACATAATCCCAAATCTGTAATATAACAATTACCTCCTTGCAATAATATATTACCACTATGTAAATCACAATGGATGAAATCTTTTTTGTGTATATCATCTAATGCATCACATAAATAATAAAAGATTGTAATTCTGTCTTTTAATGTTAAATTTAAATTTTTTTGTAAATAATCCCTTAAATTGCCTTCTGGAGCATAATCTAAAACTATTGCATAGTTTCCATTATTTGGGAATTTAGTTATACCATAGCAAGCAACAATCATTTCTGATTTAATTTTGCAATAATTTATTACCTAAAAATAAATATAAAATCAATTAGTATTATATAATACAGTATTGTTTATTTTTGTTTTAAATGGCAGTTACCAACCTCATCAAAAAAGCTTTTTCCTGGATTACTTGAATCATTTAAACTTTTTAATGCTACCCCATGCCTTCCAAAATAACTAAACTCCTTTTTATTTTCATCATAATCAATAATACTTCCTCTTGTCCATGTGGCAGTATAAATTGAACTAAATCCACCTTCTGTCAACTTTGTTACTTTTTCAAATTGCTCAAAAGGTATCCATTCCAAAATATATTCTAGCCCAGATGATTTCATTTGACATTGTTGAATAAAATTATCAACTATGTTATTTCTAGATGTCCAATTATTGAAAAGACTCTGTAAATGTAAACTAATGCAACCTTCACAGAATTTATCAGAGTATCTTGTCAATTTACACTTGTTACATTCTTTTGGCTTGTCTGATTCTTCACTTGTATTGCTTAATTCAAAGTCATAAATAAACTCTTCTTTACAATATTCTTTGTCATTTTCAGAAAGCTCCTTGTTTTTTTCAACCAATGAAAAAAAATAATCTTTTCTACTTTCTATATCAGAATTAATTATAGCATTATTCTCCATTTCATGATAAATTTTAAATACAAATTCATCTCTTCCTGGTGATAATTTATTATATTTATATGACATTATATAAAAATTATAAATTCAAAATTTGACTTGATTAATTTATTGAGAATAAACTATTTATTTATGTTTACTATATAAAATTTGACATAGAATTCATTTATATCCAAAAATTTAATTTTATCTTTCTAAATGATAATGTAATATTATTGATTCTGATAACATTATGTAATATTGACCAAAAGATGCAATTTTTTTCTTTAAATATACTACAAGGATATGTGTAGCATTGCTCCCATCAGGAAAATGGGTACAAATATTATGCATATATAATACACAATTGCAGGGATTAAGCATATAATATATGTACAATTTGCATACATAAAAAAATATGTGATTTGTATGCATATTATATGCTTAATCCCTGCAATTGTGTATTATATACACATAATATTTGTACCCATTTTCCTGATGCCTTAAAAGATCTGTTAAATTGATCTATTGTTGATTTACTATCTGTGCAAATAGTAACCTTGGAGTCTTTATGTGCAATTAATAAAGCAGCTGTTACAGGAGCCATTTCAGCACATGTTGCAGAAGGCCAATTTTTTTTTAATTGATGCTCCAAATTCCAATGAGGGAGAGCTTGGATGTGTTTGAATATAAGCAATGCCCATTTTCATTGTTTCTTTACCTAGATATATAAGTGATTCATTGGTATGAAACTCCAAATTTAAGGAAAGGTGTAATAAGCTTTGTTGTTGTAATAATAAATCACGCAAGGGAGAAGATTTAATAAATTGAAAAATTAAATTTTCTTCTTCTATTATTGTATTTGGGAGTTCTACTGTTGTATATGTCATTTGTTGTGTATTAAATTTATAGTGATATTCTGCTCTTTGTTTTAATTCAAAAATAGGTGTCCCTAGTAGATATTTATTTGGTTCTGGTTTTTTTATTTTTTGAATTAATATTGCATCTTGAGATTTGCACAGCACATTCATATTTATTTAACTTTATTTAGTAGAGATTAATGATGGTTCTCCTGGAACAGGCAAAAATGTGCAGATTCACCCAGGTACAAAGTATGCAGATTCACACAATTTGGGCTAATATGTAAATGAACATGTATATAAAGAACTTGATTTCAACCTAATGTAAAAGTAACTTTCTTGCAAGTTAATTAGTTTTGATTAAATAAAACTAAATAAATAAAATAGTAATATTTTATTTAAATAAACTTTTATCTTCTTTAACCAAAATTATTCACTAATACCAAAATCAATTTGTTTGATCCCCTATTCATTCTGATCCACAAAAACAAAAATAATTGTTATCACCTATTAAAACATGCTCTCTCAAATTTAATCAGTAACAATAGTAACAATACAAAAAATAGTATGAACATGTAAAACAATTAATAATCAAATATAAGATTATAGTCTTTGCTTCATGTTTATCTGTCAACTCTTTAATTGAAGCTTGATGTTTGGATATTTTAGACCATCTAAAAATATAACATGATAGTATGTAATAAAAACAATGTTATGTAAAAGTGATTTAATAAACATTAAATATAAGATATAAAATTTTATAACTCAAAGTATCAATTTTTGACTTAGTGCAAAATCTAATGATATTGTTTAGTATAAGGAATTGTTTAATGATAGTGAAAGATAGTTTGAGAGTAAAGCATAAATATACATTTGCAGAAATTGTTGTTATGATATAGTATAAATAAATTGGAATGTCTGTAGATGATAAAAATGTTAAAATATTATATATAAATGTTGAATATAAAAATAAAATAATAAATAAATAATACTAAATGATGACAAAAGGCATGGTGGTAGGTCACTTCAATCAGGTTAAATTACAAGGAGGGTTTGCTTTAATTAAAATAGATAGCATATAATCATTAAAATGTGAAAATTTCAATAATCAGATAAATGTAAATTTATTCATAATTATCTGGTATAGTTAATTCAATTTGTTTGGAATCTAGCATAGTTAAGTCAATTTGTTTAGATTCTATAGTATTAATTTATAATTTAATTTAAAATATCATTAATAAATTAAGATTAAATATTTAAACAATAAATTAGATGATTACCATTATTATTACTAATAATTGTAACTTTATTGGAGTTTACAGGTTGAGGAAGATTTGTAAAATTCAATAATCTACTTGTATAAACAGCATTTGGATGAACAGTTGC